GGGGGGGGGGGATTCCGACACGTTACATAAGGATCGGCCTCGCCTACGGCTGCCTCTAGCTGCCTCCGGCCGCCCACCTCGAACTGCTGGGCGCGCTCGGCGGCCAGGCGGTCCTCCTCGCCCGTCGCGTTCTTGGGCTCGTACCACTCGCTGTTGAGCGTGATGCCGACCCGGCCCTTCTGCTCGTCGGCGTACTTGTCTCGGTACAGGCGGTAGGCGCGGGCGTGCGCCAGCAGCGCGGTGTGCCCGCACAGGTAGTCGGCCGCGCCGGTCAGGTTGACCCGGGGCGCGTTGTGCCCCGTGCCGTACCCCTCGCCGCAGTACTCCAAGGGCTCGTTCAGCGTGATCCACATCTTCACCTGGACACGCGGATGGGGAGAGAGTTAGCAGAGGCGAGGGGATGTGATCCGTCTGCACCCGGGGGGTACTTCACTATAAATTGTACACCACTTTTTCTGATTTTTTTTCTGATTTTCCAACGGCGTTTTTGGAGGCTGTACATTGTTTTTTCAGAGTAAAGTACGTATGCCTGGGGGTGTGGTCAACGATGACACTCGTACCCGGTCGCCGAACAGACGGAACGCCAGGTCCGCGTAGTCCACAAAGTAGTCGACGATCACGGGATTCGGCCAGCCGCCCATGTCCTGGAGGGCTTGGGGGAGGTCCCAGTGGTATAGGGTGACCTGCCGGAAAAGAAGTCCCCGTCAGTCGTCATGTGGTCCGGTCGAATGGGCTTCGCTCTCCGCGGCCTTCGCAACACGACGTGTTTTATCGACTTCGACTTCTTGTCAAGCGTCTTTCGCTCACCACGGGCCGGATCCCTTTGGACAGGAGCTCGGTGATGAGGTTGTTGTAGTAGTCCACGCCGGCCTTGTTGACGTTGCCGAGTGCGCCGTCGGGCAGGAGGCGCGTCCAGGAGATGGAGAAGCGGTACACGTCGAACTGGAACCATAGTGGAGGCATCATACTCGACACTTCGGTCACCGTCAAGGGGTACTTCACTAAACAAGCACACACCAATTTTTCTGCTTTTCTTTATTTTTCTT